GAGCTGGACCGATCCAGATCTAGACCGATCCAGAGCTGGACCGATCCAGAGCTGGACTGATCTAAAACTAGACGACTCTAGAGCTGGACTGATCCCGACCTGGACATATCCAGAGTTGGACTGATCCAGAACTGGACTGATCCAGAGTTGGACTGATCCAGAACTGGACTGATCCAGAGCTGGACTGATCCAGAACTGGACTGATCCAGAGCTGGACTGATCCAGAACTGGACTGATCCAGAACTGGACTTGGAGCAGATCTTCCTGGTTCTTGTGAGTTTCTATCAGGATGTTTTGTTGTTGACACAAACAAAGATGACAGCTAACAGGAAGTTCTTGACTGTGACAGAAGTGCTGACTCAGCGTACCTTTGAACCTTTCTAATCCAGGTATGTGGGGCAGGTGAGGGTCCGAGTAGTGTCTGAAAGAGGGAACAGGAAGTCACCAGGTCTTCAGCTGAAAACAGTAACTGTGACTCTGAGAGTCTCACCCCGAGCAGACCAACACCGAGTCAAACGTCTCCGTCTCCTGTCCACCTGACGAGTCTGATGATGTCACCTCCCAGGTGACCGTCCTCTCCTCGCCCTCTGTTGTCGTGACGACGGGCCTCACCTGTCTCACCTCGGTGTTGAACTGACGAGCGAGACCCCATGAGCCGTTAGGAGTTTATAAACCAAACGTGGCCGAGAGGGTCGGCGGACTCACCCGGATGTGGGTCCGGATGTGGAAGTTCTCACAGTACCTGTCCAGGTACCGCTGGACCTCCTGATGGGGGAGGAAGCTGCTCAGCTGGGGGTCAAAGGGGAAGTCAGGGAACATCATCACCTCTTTGGGCAGGTTGGTCCTGAAACCAGACACGCCCCCAAACTCAGACCACCTCAGACCACGAACACGCTGCCCACCCRGACAGGTGAACCCACCTGAGGTCTCTGTACATGCTGCTGAGCACCGGGCGCCCGTCGGGGAGCGGACCGGTTCTCTCGTCGTAGCACCAGGTGCCGCCGATGTTGTCGCTGAGCTCGAACACCACCGGGGGGGCGAAGCTGCCGGGTCGGGACAGGATGTGTCGGGCCGCGCAGAGTCCGGCCGCCCCGGCACCGACCACCGCCACCCGCTGCAGCACCCTGCAGCTCCCACCACCACCTGAGGGGGGCGCTGGACTCACCTGGAGGTCAAAGGGTGAGGGTCAGATCCTGGACACCTGAAGTGTTCACCTGCTGAAAACAGAGGAGGGCAAACCCAGACCCCCCGGACCCCTCTGACCCAAAGACAAGGTTTGTCTCATGAACATCTTCAGACCACCTGACTGTTTTACACACATCATATTTTTATTATATATTTTATATTTTTAAATGTTTCCCTCACTGGTTTCTTTGGGCCGGACGGAGCTCACACTCAGGCCACATG